GGAGCGGAGTGGCTCGCGGCGGGCGTACGAGTGGCGAGTTGCGCGCGCAATCGTGCGGTGGGGATCAGCCGTGCGGTAGTCGCGAGAGGGCCGGCGCCCCCTCCGCATCTCTCTCCTCGTCTGGTTCGGAGCCGCAGAACGGCGCACCGTGTGTCGAGCCAAGCCGAGCCGAGCCGAGTCGGTCAATACTCCGGGCAACGCGGTGGTGAGAGCACACGACGCTCGCCCGTACTCGTGCACGCTGTCGCTCGTCGTAAGCGACGAGTCTCGCTACGGATTTTTCTTTCGCGTCTTCGCGATTCCACGTAAAACGCGTGGTTCCCGAAGGGACGAGTAGGCAGGATCGAATAGACACCGGTCTATTCTCGCCGGTAGCTCGCGAATGATACGCGAGCGCACGCACGGAGACACGCGTGCGAGCCAACGCGTCGAGTCGTATAGTTTTCCTCTGGCGTGTGACCGCTAGCTCTCTAGACTGGTTCTGCGTTTAAGCGAAGCGTTCTCGATTCGAACCAGCCGCCGTTTACCACGTTCGCGATCCGACGATGCGAGCCTGCTCCGTGCGCGAGTCGTAGGCGACCGAAAAGACAGTGTCAGGACACGTTCCACGGTGGTGAGACGCGACCGTGACACGAGACCGCCGTGGTCGGGGGTCCCGTGCACCAGGTACTTTGGCGGTAGTGCGCGTCTCGATTACTCGCGGACAGTGGGTGCATCCTCGTGCGACGATCCGACGAATCCACGGTGTATCCGATCCCGTGAAAGAGCAGCCTACCGAAACGAAACGACGTACAACGATGCATCCTGGAGCGTGATGGACAAGGTCGCAGCCAGCAGCTTCCAACAGCTACGCCTCGCCGGCATACTCATGGATACGTGGATATTCTTCCTGTTCGTCGCCATTGCCGGTGAGTCTGCATTCTTCGATCCTTCTCGTTATCGAGCACACGGCTCCGATCCGTCTCTACCGATCTTATCGAACGTCGTTCCGAAATCATCGAGCTTGTCCCGAGCGTGTTCCTCTCGATGTTCGCTCGGTCCCGGTATCGATTCGACGAGCTTTTGCTCGCGGCGTGACTCGGTCCGCGTGCTGTCACTCGACGCGTCGATACGCATTACGTATGCACAACAGGCACGTGCGGCACGCTGAGTAAGTGCGTCGTATCTGTGCCACGGTTCAGGCTCCACTCGATTCATTCAACGCGGAGAGATCGGAGAGAGGGAGAGACCGATGCCACTTTCGTTCTTAGCTCGCGAACCACCAGCATTCCGTTTTTGGACCGCTTCAAGGCTCTCTGACGCGACGACCGTTCGAGGAATCGACCCGAATCGGTCCGTGTCGTAAGAGAAAATATGGTTAGCCGTGCACGCCGCCTCTCCGTGCGTCTCGAAACGCGATTCTTTTGTCAGTTCGCGTACCGCTTGCCTTCCTTTCGATTATTCCAGCTAGCTTGTTTGCGTTTGCCTCTAGCGGAAACCTCGTGGGGTGTAGGCGCCACCGAGCACACGCTTGGACGGTGCACGCTGTCCTACGGATAGCGCCATACGATGCCAGATGGCTGACGATCGTAGCGACGAACCAAAGGGAATTGGCCAGTTCTTTTCCTTTCTCGCGCTGTCAGCTTCTCTCTCCTTCGAATTCTCGATCTATCGTCCCCCTGGTCACATTATATCCTTTTG